GGTCTACCCAAATTAGGCTGCCTCTCTGCCCTGGTTCAGACTGCAATCCAATAGAAATTGGAAGACACTAAGAGACAGAGACTGGTAAAGAAAGTTTCTTCCTCTTCCTGTTCTACCAAATGCAATGCCAGGTACTTCCAGAAATTATACAAAACTTCCAGCTTTCTGTCCAGAGTAGGATTCTGCAGTATTCCAGATGGTCCTGGATCTTCGAGCTGGACATACTTGTTTACTTTTGAAAGCTAATGCAGACAAATGAGACCTAACAGCCTGCAGGGAAAAATGTCTTACTATTCCTGCAAAGGCAGGGAATGTTCTGTCAACTTTAGTATTTTCTCCAGGGGAGAGAGAAATTGAAAGTTTGAGGGGAAGAAGGCAGGTTTTTAAAGGATGGGGGAAACTTGAACAGATGAAGGGGAGGATCTTATATAGAGGGAGACATTGAAAATAAAGAGAGAGACAGTAATAGAGGAAGCAAGAGGAAGTGGAAACAAAGGCCCAAGAGGAAAGTTGACCTTAGGAAGAACCTCAAAGTTGGGAAAGACACAGAAAGGTTAGATGAAGATACCCAGAAAGTTTGAGGGGCAGGATGGGGGTAAGAAGAGAGGGTCCTATGAGGAAACTCATGTTGAATTTTCTTTATCTTTCAAAAAAGATTAAGGTGATCTCAAAGTTGGGAGCAGACTGTTGGACTCCAGGAGAATGTTAACTCTCTGAAATAGCCACTAGGAGGAATATGATAAAGGGTTTATTAAAGATGGACATGATGATTGCTCAATAGCACAGAAAACCCACGAGGAACTTAACTGAATAGCATTCCATTGTAGTGAAGTTAATCACTGTTTAAGATAATGCATGTAGAGCATTCAGGAGAGCACTTGGCGCCAGAACCTCTTCAAAAATGTACCATCACCACCACTGCCCTTCCTATCTATTATCCCTAGCTTCTTAGCAACAAGCAGGAGAAGTAGAGAAAAGAGATATATACCCAGGTCGTCAGACTGGAGACTGTCTTAGATGAACATGATGGGTGGACAAGGGAGCAAGGGAGTTAAGATGAGTATCCTTGGGGTCTTTTTGGGATTTGGAAGAAAGTGAAGCCAAAGTAGCTTTTTAACTCTTGAGGTCTGGTCTAGGTCAGGATACTGACAGTTACAATGCAGATGAAGAACAGATTCAGTGAGTGGATGGTGAGCAAGGGATTGTAGAGCTGAGATCTTGGGAACTTTTGAGAAATAACTTGGAACTAGCCATGGCTGAACTTGTGGACAAACTTGGTGGAGTTAGAAATAAAAGTTGTTGACAAGTTGAGGAACCCTGAGGTCAGTATGTGGGAAGAATTAACAAAGTGATTGGTGGGGGATGGGAGAACCAAAGAGCAGAGATAGAAAGGAGATTGGGGGGTCAGTTGTTGGAGGAAATGATACACGTGTGAATTTTAAAAGGGAAAGATTGGTTAAGGGTAAGTGTGGTTGGGAAATACAGAGGGGAGCAGGGAAGATGCCCCTTCTACTACCTTTTCACAGTGAGTGGCTGGAAAGTGGAGCTGGGGCAGGAGCATGATGGGCAGTGGTCCACTTCAGTTCTGTTGAGATAATTAAGTGTTCAAGAACAAGGCTAGGAATCATGGGAGCTTATTCACTATAGAGCAGGAGCCACACTGTACACGAAGAAGGGCTTAGATGGTAAGTCCCCATCTCCCCTCTCCTGGATCTAAGCATTCTAGCTCTTCTGAGTGGTACAGTTGTGTGGAAAGCTAGGCTGTGATCCATTCCCCTTTCACATTGTGTCTGTGAAGCAACTGTGGAGAAGCGGCATTGTGTTGAGATTTGATACTATTTCCTAATGCTGACTATAGTGTATGAGTG